GAGAGCCTATTCTTGCAGGATATACTCAATCAGACATGGCTGGGGATATTGATACAATGAAATCTACTTCAGGTTATCTAATTACCTTTGTAGGGGGAGCTGTGTCTTGGCAGTCAAGGTTACAAAGATGTGTTGCACTTTCTACCACTGAAGTAGAGTTTATAGCAACTGTTGAAGCTTGTAAGGAGTTGCTCTAGATGAAGAGATTTACTCAGGAACTTGGGCTTGCTCAAAAGAGGTATGTGGTTTATTGTGATAGCCAAAGTGCAGTTCATTTAAGTAAGAACTCTACATTCCGTGGTAGGTCAAAGCATATTGATGCTAGATACCATTGGATTAGAGATGTCCTAGATTCTAAGTTGCTTGAACTTCAAAAAATTCACATTGATGAGAATGGGTAGGATATGATGACCAAAGCTGTGCCAAGAGTGAAGTTTGAGGCATGTTGCTTGATCGTTGGAATGGCGATCTCCTCCACATAGTCGGGAGGGGGAGAATTGTTGGGTTAGGCCTATCCCTCCTATGTGGAGATATGGCCAATATTTGTGGACTAAGCCCACACTTGTTAAGCCCATTTGAAGCCACATTTTGTAGCCCTTTAAGACAAAGAAAGGAGTTTGATTTGGACAGCAGAAAGTGGAGAACACGTGAGGGACCAGCCGGCAGAAAGGGAAAGAAAGCAAGGGAGAATTTTGGAGATTTGGTACAGTGCACAGTTTTGCAATTTTGTCTGATCCGCAAAAGTTCACCGTTGGATTGAGCTGAGATTTGGTCTGGGGGTTCACAAGATTTTGATCTACAATCTGAACTGTCAGTTTTTTGTTTGGTGCTCTATAGGTTCAATTCTTGTGCCTTGAACAGTAACTCATATTTTGGTGCTCTGTTTTCTTGTGGTCCCTTTTACTTTGTTGGTTTGTGGCCTATTGTTCCTCTTATTTAGTGTTGTTTTTTTTGCCTTTTTTAGAAGAGGATATTATGTATTCACTTTTATCATAGTGGAGCTATTTTGAGTGAACTGGATGTCCCATGCTTTTTACCCATTTTTTGCGTTTTCCACGTAAAATATTGTGTCTCTTGTGTGGTTGCTTTACTTTGGCTATTTTTACTGTTCTGCATATTTTTAGCTGCTGTGATAATTTATTTGGACTCAATTTAGCTTACTCTTAACAATTTGAAATAGATTGAGGAAGATTTTGGTGTTGCTTTTATTTCCGCTGTGCTCAGGTGACACCCCGTTCCTCCCAACATTGATATTAAGAATGTTAGAACGTTTAACCACAATTATTAAATGTGTGGAATATAATGTAGATTTTAAATTTATCAATTTTCTCATGTAATTATTATTAAATATTTTAATATTTTTAAAGTCAAAACATTTTAATTTTTCTTTTTCCCTTTAAAAAAAATTACGTGACACTAATCGTGCGTAACGAGTAACGACGGTCTGTAGCCCGAGACGGGCTACATTGTCGCGCGAATGTAAATTGATCGT